CGTTGGTGTAGTTAATTTGAGTGTGCGGAAGCAAATATCATATAAAGCTTCATTATCAATACAGTAAGTTTCATCTGTATTCTCTACTAACTGATGAACAGAGAGTGTGGCATTATATGGTTCAACAACAGTATCAGAGACCTATAATAAAAAATTTTATATATATATATATATACATACACGTACAATGTTTAAATTATCAAATGTTTGTCCTGTATATAATTATTTTCTCTTTCCACATATCAAATTCATAATATAAAAAGAATAAAACAAGATATAGAATTTCTTTTAGACTCCATAATAAAAAGAAAATTATCAAAGATTAACGCATTTAATTTAAAAATAAAAGTGTTATAAACTTAATTTGTCAAAAAATGCTGTTATATATTCAATATATAAAAATTTTACATTTATATCTAAAAAAAGGAACATTTGAAATTTTTAATTACAGTATATATATTATATTAATAAATCATNTATATATATATATATATACATACACGTACAATGTTTAAATTATCAAATGTTTGTCCTGTATATAATTATTTTCTCTTTCCACATATCAAATTCATAATATAAAAAGAATAAAACAAGATATAGAATTTCTTTTAGACTCCATAATAAAAAGAAATTTATCAAAGATTAATGCATTTAATTTAAAAATAAAAATGTTATAAACTTAATTTGTCAAAAAATTCTGTTATATATTCAATATATAAAAATTTTACATTTATATCTAAAAATAGGAACATTTGGAATTTTTAATTACAGTATATATACTATATTAATAAATTATATAGAAAATCACATGTGAAAGCATGAAATTAAAAAAAAAAAAAAAACAGTCAAAAGTAACATTAATGTCATTTGAATTTAATGAAGTATGAAGCTGGAAGAAATGAAGATCTAAATGTTAAGGTATAAAGTAAAATGGATACTTTCTTTTCACTTGATTTTACTAACCTAAACTAAAAATACAATATATTAGAACCTAAGATTTTTGGAAACCAGATATTTTGTAATCAAGAATTATTAATAGAATTCTTGACACACAGTTTAATTTTCAAAGTTTCTTTATCTACATAGTATGATTTTGAACACACTAAATTATTTATGATATTTTTAGGTAATTCTTCTACATTTAAAATTAGTAAATCTTCAATATATTGTCTTTATTTCATTCCATTTTTAATCCAGTTTATTTCTATAAAGATTCTTGATTTACATTAAACACACAAGTATAATTATCATACTTTTGTTCTATAGCTAACCAATTCAAAAAAGATGGATGAATATTATGTAACCTTTTACTATTACAGTCATAGACACAAAAAGTGATTGTAATTAAAGTATCCTTATTCAATGCTGCCTGGATATAAATTAACATTCCATATTCAACTAACACCGTGAAACCCAATATGTATATAGAAACACCACCAAACAATTTAAATACATCTGGAAATGAAGTCTTGTTTGGGGTCCAGGTGGCAAGCAGAGGTTGTGGGTTCAAGCCCTGCTCTGGATCATTTCTTTTATTCCAGATGATTCTGATTTATTAAAATTACAATTATTAATTTTGTTAAGAGATGGCACCAAATGTCTACCTCTAGTAGCAAATTACCATATTTACTTGCATATGAGATTTTTATCCATTTTTCACTGGTTCAAAAACCTAGGTTGTCCTATACATTCGAGTAAAGGATTTTTTTCATTTTTGTATAACTTTTGTGAGGTGTATAAGGTGAGAATCCAGTAAAAAATGTGAATACTGTACATGGTTTATGTATTCACAGTTTTTACTGGATTATCACCTTCTGACATTTAAAAACAAAAGTATTTTATCTAGATCCTGTTTATTGTCAGGAGTAAAGATGAATAGCAAAGCTTTTGAATTGAATTCCACAATTATATGGGAGCTTGATATAAGTTTCAAATCATTCCAATGTGAAAACAGATGATTATTCAGAAATCAGAATTCGAAGAATCTCATAAGCGTAATCGACAAGAGTGAATTCAACTGTTAAGAATTGGCAAAAAAGGTTCCCCATTATCCAGCTTTACATGAACATATTATTGGTTGTCGATTTTACAAGATTTTTCCTTGAAGTTTAAAATGCCAGTAAATTTTGCGGGAAAATGTGTGCATTTATATATTTATTTATTAAACGAAATAAAATTAGAATTTTATTAATATAATTCTAATTTTCTAAAATATCACACATTATTGGAATGATTTTGTAAAGCTTTAGAAGACACATACTTTACAAATTACAATATCTTAATAATTTACTTATCCTGAGTGCAATGACAAAAAAGGGGGGGGAATGATCAAAACCAATTTATTGAATGGGGAAAAGACTTTTTGATTTTTAAAGGAATTTGTAAGAAGAAATTTTAATTAAATGTATTTTAAGCATTTAGATTTTTTTTTTTTATTAATTGTAATAATTTGTCCCCTTGCTTGTATTTCTTGATGTATGTAAATGGAAATTCATTGTAAAATAAGAATGAATAATTGTACCAAAACTTTTAGAAATTTTGTGATGTATTAATTTTAAAATTAAAAAAACATTGTACAGATGTTGGTTCACAACCAGAGGTCAAGTTGGTTGGATTGCCATGCATTATTTTTTGGTCTTTAAAATTAAAGCAATGGTCCTTTTTTTTGGCAGATTTAAATATCTCCAATGCTTCAAGTATCCTGATGGAATCAATGTTTTCTTCTCTTGATGATGGAAGCTTTGTAGATTAAAATTTTTAGATTGAAAGTGTTAATCCAAAAGTTTTATTTTGAATTATATCTTGCTGGAATATGATTAAGGCTCTTTGACAGATGTGTTTATCAAAATAAACTATATGTATATATTAATTATATTTTAAATATGTATTATTTTAGTTCACGGTTGGGATTTCCGACGCTTTGTGTGCAATAAAGCCAAAGTGAAGCTTTTGGACAAATTAAATTTTACTTTAAAGAAAATCGAAGCAAATTTTTCTAATTATTCTGCTTGGCATTATTGAAGTTAATTATTACTTCTTATACAGGGTGTATCAGAATGACGTTTTAAAAATTTGGGAGATTGTACAGGATGAAATTTTGAACATTTTGATATAAGGAACCCATAGCCAGAAATGTGATATAAAGTTTCTACCACACTTTACACTTTGCAGTCGGTATGCTGAATGAAACAGCAGAATACAGTATTTATGACAAGTTTTATTGACAAAACGGTAGAGTACAATCAAACTGTACATTGAATCAGTGGCTGCACTACTTTACAGTAAATGTTGAATGTGATGACCACCAACTTCGTTACATAATGTGCAATGACGAACCATGTTTTGTCCAACTCTGTAAGATGCCACTCTGATGGTATTAAATGCTGTAAAGATGCACTCTGTAAACTTATGAACTGTTCCTACAGGTGTTGCGTACACAAGGGACTTATGTTGACTAGCTGTGTGTTTACAACACAATGCCAATGGATGCAAGGGGTGACCTGAGGGATGACAAGCACTAAGTACACAACATCCTGTACACAGGCTCAGTTAGACCACTGTAGTTGTGTGTTTAGTCTTCCATCCACAGCAATAACACGACGTCAATGGACGTAAGGGTAGCTACCAAAGTGAAGGGCGGTCAAGCACTTCCTACTGCTGTAGACACTTTAGTTCAACTTCCGGCTATAGGTTCCTTATATCAAAACGTTCAAAATTTCATCCTCTACAATCCCCTAAATTTTTAAAACGTCATTCTGATACACCCTGTATATAAAGGAAAAATAAAAGGAACAGTCAAAGAAGAAAAGTTACTTGAAGATTAATAATTTTTATTTACCATATATCTCGGCAGATAAGACAATAGTTGAATAAAAAAAAAGTTTGTATCTGTCTTTTAGGACAGATATATAAATTTCAATCTGATTTTTTTTGTAAATTAAAACCATTATAAAAACGGACAAATTGTAATTATTTACTAGTAAAGAATAGGGTATGTGCACAAAATAAAATAGCCTGTACGACATTTTTGTGAATAATCACGGTCATTACCCGAATGCAGAAATCAGTGCGAATGTTTGCAACAATCGCAAGGCAGTGCTGCCAGATGCAAAAAAATAAAATTTGTTCGTTTGAAAATTTACAAATGGGACATAATTCTGTATATGCTATACAGTATTATTATTCAGATCATGATTGCTGATCTAAACTAAATTCATAGGCTGTTGATGGTTTGGAGATCGTCTTATAGGACATATATGCTAAAACTATAAAACTTCAATGAAAATTTATATGTCCTATCTGTAGGTCGTCTTATCTGCTGAGATATACAGTAATATCTAATCTTAAACAAATGTAATTTTGTAATAATATACATTACATTTTATATAACGGTAGAGTATGAAATGGTAAAAAATTCTGCAAATAAGTTTTGTATGAAATATTAATTTAAACATGTTCAAGTTAAAATGTAGCAAATGTTTTCCTCTTGTAATCATTTGTATTGCTCTTGCTTGCTCTGTTTATATATATTCTTCGATTTATCTAAAAGAATGGAAAATCTGGAAAGAATTCCATACACTTAATATAATTACTACGAAAAAATTACTCATACAAACTTCACCATTTACATTCTTTATTACAAAAAATGATTCCAGAATTACGAAGAATATTAATGACGACGTAATGGTTACGAAAATTAATGATAAAGTAACTGATTATAAACAAGGTAAGCAATTTGCTTTTAACTTATGTTATTATGCTCTCAAATTTCTATTCTATTCTTATGGCATCCTCTTCTTAAAAGGTTTCAGCTAATGTACCATTTCTCGCCATCTTTCTGTCATCAGCATTCCTCAGATTAGTTCCTACCTGGTCCTCAATGTTATTCCTGGATTTTCTTCTTGGCCTTTCTCCTTATATTACTATCTTTATTAATTGACCTGAAAATATGTCCAGCAAATTATTTTCTTTTCTTAATGCAGGAAAATAATGACCAGCATTAATTCTTTTAAGTACTTCTCTCTGACCAGCTAATCCTATTCATCTTTCTTAGACACCATATTTCTACTGAGTTTATTTTGTTTTCCATTCCCTTCGTGGAACATCAACATTCACTTCCATAGGTTATCAGGCTCTGTAGCATTGTCTGAAGTAATTTGTTTGAGTATTTGTTAATATGTGAAAGCGCCATAACTTTAAAGTTGTGAATGGCACATTATAAAAATTTTTTAAATAAAATTCCATATTATTTATTATAAAAAGGCAAAAACCTTTTTTGGGAGAAAAAAAACTACTTGTTAGTAGCATTCAGTCTGATATCATTAGAGATATGACACGCCCCCTATCTATCTATCTATCTATCTTTAACCATCAAAATTTAATAGAATTAGCACCACAATTTGTTCATCTATGAAACCAGCTCCAAATTAGGTGCCATTGATAGGTGAATTGAGGTACTTTAATGAGTTATATATACTGTTGTAATGAGGTCTACATACAAATTTAAAATTTGCATTATTTGACAACATTGTTGTTTGTAAGACATTTAGCAAATTACAGCTAATGAAAAATTCTTTTAGGCGCATATTTATGAGGACAATCCAATTCGCGAGTATTCATTAATGCTTTCTCGATGATTGACTACTATTCAATTCTTTACCTTTTTATGCCTTTATTTACAGATCCACTTCAAGATCCAACATTTTTAACCATTGCTTGCAACTATGGTAGACTAGGAAACCAAATGTTTACTTATGCCTCATTATTGGGTTTGTCGAAAATGAATAAACGTACTCCTTATGCGCCAAAATGTAATATGGATACTGTTCGAAGATATTTTAAAGTGACAGCAGCAGAGATTTCAGATCTTTCAAAACAAAACAGAAGTGAATATCCTCTAGGACCGTATTTCCGTCCAAAAGATGCCCACATTCCAAAAGACAAAAATATACTTACTGGATACGCATACCCAAATTCATTTACGTTTTTTGATCGTTTTAGAGATGAAATTAGAAAAGAATTTCAATTTAAGGAAAGCATTATATCTTACGCTCAAACTTATCTTCATTCTTTAAAAAATGTTACGCGTTCAGATGTTACGTTTGTGGGTATACACGTCAGGCGAACCGATTACTGTAAGTGGTTACAAAACTATTACGGAAGACAAGTAAACATGATGTACTTCAAGCAAGCCATAGAATATTTTCAACTGAAGTACAGCAGAGTGATTTTTGTGGTCGTAAGTGACGATAGAGGATGGTGTAAAAGAAAATTAGGTATTTGGCCCAACGTGTTCGTGGCACCGGAGCAAACCGATAGTGCCCACGATATGGCTCTTATGTCTCAGTGTAATCATACCATTATGACTTACGGTTCGTTTGGGTTTTGGTGCTCTTATTTAGCTGGTGGAGAAACGATTTATTTTGATGAATACATAGCCCCGAATTCGTCATTTTTAATCGACCATTTGCCATTTAACGAAACTTTTCTTCCTAACTGGATTGGGATATCTGCTAAAACGGATAATTTTTGGAATGAATTTGAGACTGATGGCAATTGCACTGAATGAATGATCCTATAAATCAGCATTTCTGAAAGTGGGCAATAATGCCCCCTTGTGGACAGTGAGTAAATTCAGGGTGCACTGCAGGCAGGGTACTGAACAGTGACCAAAGGCAAAAGTCGGCAGGGTCACTGACAGCTGTTCTCTTTCCTCTGTTAAGCGGATAAGAGGAAACATTGTGTTTAATTCTAATGATTTCCAGATGTTGATAACAATGTACACTATAGGCACAAAGTGTGCGATTCATAGAAAAGATTTCCTAAGAATATTTTCAATTCTTTCTCACAGAAGAGATAATGGGTTAGGGGGCGTTGGGTAACTTTATGGAACAAAGGGGCAGTGGATCAACAGTTTGGGAATCACTGCTATAAATTGTAATTGCTCTTTTAGATATTAAGGTTTTGAAGATTCATGATATATCATTAAAACAAATTCTATTATGAATTGATAGTTTATCTTAAGTGCTCAGCAATTAACTAAATAAAAACAAAACACCTTTTTTTGCCAAGAAATAAATGTAATTGTAAAAACAAAACATTTTCAGCCCAATTAATAGGCCATCTTCAGGTTGAAAATGAAAATGGAATGTAAATGTTCCATGAATAGAACATAAAAAATTTCAAATAAAAAATTTACAAGAGAAAAATAACAGAAGAATATATGAAAATTAAAATAAAACAAATAACAACATAATTCTTCAATGTACTAATTCTGGTCCAAGTTTCTAGTAAATTTCTTAACCAAGTATTTCCATGCCAAAGGCAGGTTCTCGGCATCCCTTGCATTTAAACAGCCTTCTCCTATCTTACTTCTGTATATTTCTATCTTTTCCGCTGTCATTGCTAAAGTTGGGGAAGACAGAGGTTCGATGATTGTTGCCTCGTCCCACTTTACCTCAGAGTCTTGGGCCTGCGCCATTTGGGACAAAATTGTGAGATAGCAGAAATTCTTATATTAGAAATACTCTTTAATAGTAACTTTCGCGAATTACGCAACAATTGTTGTTCTTAGCTACCTGAGAAAATCTCCTGTTACATTTTCTCGAAAGCAACATGACGCTTTCTCGTGAACTATTAACCTCTGCACGGCCGAAATCGTCCGTGAATATCATCAGAGACGGCCGACAGGAGAGAGTCGCGGCCTGAGTCCTCGGAGAGGAAAGAAGTCGTCCTCCCTTCAATTATCATCTATTAAGGAATCCGAATTAATCGCCATAGGATAAACTTGTCTGTGTGTGTGTGTCTGTGTGTGTTAGTGCATCGCCTGGATAACGAATCCGTCTGACCACGTACGGAACCGCTCGCGCGACGGCGTGACGTAATCGCCGTCTCGGTTTCCGTGTTTCGAGAAACACGGTGGTGTCAATCCTGACAGGGTACCAAAGAGGTGCCGACCCGAAAGGTCACAAAATCATTGAATTAGACACTTTTCTTATGGTATATCTTCTTTATTCTTGGGAATAAGACTCAAAGAACATATGTTCTTTGAGTCTTACTCCCAAGTTTCTGGTGGTGATGCCGATATAATCTTTTTTAACATCAGTTGTTACAACATTTTTATCAATTCATATTTGAATTATATATTTTAGTATGAAAACAAAAAATCTGGCCTTCTCATTTTTATTGTGCTAAGCCAAGATGTGTAGAAGAGGTAGTATTTTAACGTTTCCAAGCACTTTCTTTCCTCTAGTGCAGTGTTCTGCAACCGTTTTCTACTTGCTGCACACCTATAACTCGACATGACTCAACCATGGCACACCAAAATGTTACTCCCCTCAAAAACGTATTATATGATACTGTGAGGCCAGCCGATTAGGGGTGAGGTGTTTTCGACAGCCGAGCGGTTAAT